GTGAGTGAAACGCTGCACATGGCAACCGTTAGCAGACCTCTGAGGGCAACCGTTAGCAGACCTCTGAGGGACCAGCTGCTGTTGAGCAGTACAGTGATGACTCACCACTGACCTGAGGTGCTTTCCTGTGCTTACTCTGTTAAGTTTCATCTTGGCAGGCACATGCAATGGATCAAGTGATGCCTGGACTGCACTCAGCTGGCTGCTGGATGATAAATGTTGCCTCTACATGCCTCTTTGAGTGATTGGTGGATAAAAAGCACAAATTGAGTTGACATTTGAGTCTGCAATATTTCCTCCTATGTGTAGTGAGTTTTAGTTGACAGTAGCCACACCTCTTCATGTGTTGTGACCGCATGACAATAACACCACCAAAATAAAAGCAGTCATGAAGCAAACTGAGATGGGCCACTTGTCTCAACTATTATTTCTATAGCCAAAAACACAAATTTGCTTTACAATCTGTGCAACAGACAAATTGATCTTTCCTGAATTCATATTGAATCTTAACTGAAATTAAGGTTAGAGGTCTATGCTTTACGAAAGACTAGTTGCAATGTAAGGTATACTAAGTACTGAAGTAAATTGAAATGTGCAAAACACAGCGCTTACTCCTTAAACAGTGATTAACAGGTGGTTCAGATATCTTTGCAGTAAACAACGAGGTCTAATTAAGTGTATTACTGCTTCCATCACAGCACGCTTTTAAGTGATTAACTCAAGTCTGGAAGAGGCAGCCTGTTCACATCACAGCAGAGATACAACACTCAAACAAAGGTTCACTATGTATACACTAGCTGTGTCTAAATAGAGGGATAGCTGCAGTATTTTAAGTGCTCTTTGACTTGTAGGACTGACCCTGCAGGTGCTTGTTAAGGTGCACTTAAGATGTGCATCACACTCTTAGTGTAGATAATTATTCTTTGTGAACTTGGGATGTTTCAACGTACTGTAAGAGCTGCCTCTGTCACATCTCAGACACAGCTCTACTGTAATCCTGACCATCTTTGGCAGTCTGTTCCCATGGTGTCCATTCCCTCATTTGTCCATATATAGCAGCAGGCAGGATGATGAGGAAAGAGGTTACACACACTCACATTTTAAGGATTAAGTGAACAGTGAACTTGAGCTCATGATTCAAAGTGCAGTTTATTCTTTTGTTGTTGATGAGGAAACTGCCATGCTGATTTGTGACTTTGTTGTGATCCCTCACTCCACTTTCTGACCTCTTCATGGCCAGGTTGTGCAGCTTTAATGTTCAAGGGTCAACCTTGCAAACTTACAAACCCCTACACACAACCTGCTGCTGAAGACAGGTGATAACCCTCCAAGTCCCCCTTACAAATGTTCACTTCTGGCTGGTCACTTAAACAAACAGCCTTAATGGGCGCACTAGAGACAGCTATGTGTAGTATGTCTCACTGTCTCCATGTCACCTCGATGCCAGCCATCTCTGGCTCAAACTGGACAACAATGAACAACAGGCGTCACTGGACAGGACACTGTTGGAATCCACGTAAAATCTGATCTGTACAGATTATGCGTTAATTTCCCCCAAACGCTGAGCTTTCCAGCCTTAAAAGCAACAACAAGTTATTTCATGTCAAATTTCAGTGACCAGGATAGAACAAACAACTCACCGGATATTTGGCACACACGCTGATAGTCTTCGCAGCAGTCTCCGGTTTTCTGACAGTAGGTATCACAGTAGCACACTGTTTTTCTCTTGCTGTACTCAAAACATTCGTTGTTCCGACCCGTGCAGCAGTTTGGGCTCTCCCTCTCTCTGCAGCCTGCTTCAGCCCGTGGTACAATTTGCCCGCAGAAAAACGCAAAATATCCACAAACGACAAACCCTAGACGCGCTGAGCTCCATCCATGCGCTCCCATGACGGAAACTTTCACCTATCCACACTCACACACACTCCGCTGGTGTATGTGTCACTTTGGATGTTGCTTAAACCTGATTTATGTTACACAGACACTTGCGGCATTTTCTAAAATCCAAATCCAAGGAAACTTCGGCACTGACACCTACACGAACAAGTGATGCTTAAAAGTGGAGCCTGGGTGAACACCAGTTCCCCTCTATCCGTCTGTCGGGCACCGCCCCTTGGAGCTACTGTTGATTATTAGGAAAGACATACAGTACCACCTCCCACCCCCTCTCTCTCGTGCGGTTGGTTGTGCAATTTCTAACTCAACAAAGGGGTGCTGTTACAGAATGTCTTATTATTCTCTCAAAAGGTAGTGGACCACCCCAGCTGCTGAAATCCAAATAAGTTGCAAACCAAGACAACATTGATTTTGGGGGTAGACAAACCACCCAAAATAAGCCCTAATGGATGCATTTATAGGGACTTGCACTGTTGCACCAAACATGGAACCAAAAACATTTCCAGGAATGCAAAAGATGAGCTGCACTCAAGTGAAAAGATATCTGTGAAAACTGTTTTAAAACTATCTAGATCAGTTAAGCTTCCGATCAGAAAATCTGATTCAGCACCACGGACAGCGGCGCTGCCACTTTATATCAAAATCAGTAAATAGCCTACGAAGAGAAAGTTTAAATCAAAATAACAGTCAGGCAACAGCTAACGCGCAAAATGAGGAGGTCCTTTTTTAGCTGCAGCGACAAAACTATCTTCACTCATCCCATAGAACTAAGAGCATCCAGGCCTTTGACTGGAGAACAATAACATTACTTACCCTTCACTGGTTCTGACATAATGGAGGCTCTTGGGGAGAAATGCAATGCAATGGGGGATACTGTAAAAGCACATCAGCAAAGAAAGAGTCAGTTATAAAGGATTCAAATCCCCTACTTCAGTAAAAGAACCAATGGCATAGATCTGTGGATAAATACTAGATTAAATCTCCTGTAAATGCACTGCTTCATGTTGTATTCTATAAGCAAATATTAGTGCTACATTTCCATGTTATGTGTGATGCATAATCTGTAAGACGTTTTCTCTTTTAAGTATGAAGATTAGTTGGTCTGGTTGCTGTTTAGAGGTCTGTTGGTTATTTAAACTTTAACATGAGCTCACAAGTTGAACCTTACTCTGCAATATCACTAACAACAACCATGAGATAATGGGATATGACAGAGCTGTGGTTCCCCCAACCTGGGGGCCCAGATCCCCCATGGTCCCAGACTAAATCTAAGGGGTTAAGAGTATGAGAAAGAAAATATATGTTTCTGTTACGCAAACACATGATTTGCTTTTTACTTGTGAAATACTGGACATTTTAAACAGTAACAATTCTTCAAATAGGAGGGGAAAGTATTTGTTTAACTCACCTCCACATTAAGACCATGACCTATGATGTGAGGTAACAAGGAGACACTGCTTCAACTTAAGGGGTCTCAAAGCAAAAGGTCAGGAACCACTGATATAGAGTATAAGTGTTTCCATCTATAAAAGGAAGTGGGAGAAAAGCATGAACTCTTCATTAAATGTACATCATTAATTTCCACCTCTTAGTATTTGTAGTTAGTGGAGCTATAAAGCCACTACTGGACTCCTCTCAGAAAAATGGGGAAAGTTAACATTTCATCTCTGGAGTTTGTCCTGAAAATTGTATATTGTTGTTGAAATATTGAGCAAATAATTGAGTTACAACAAATCGTTGTCTTTGAAGAATTTATTAATAAAAGAGAATAAACAGAGAAGTACTACAACACATATACAGCTGGCCCAGAGACCTGCTGCCTGGGGCAGCTTCGGGCATCCGGCCCCGAGCAAAGGGATGCACAATCATTTACACAGTCTACGTTTCTATGTTTTGGGGAACAGAGATCCTCACCTAAACCCACATATGTGAACAGACTAATAAAGAGTATAATCAGAAGAAAAGGTATATATAGATATATACAATAATAGCAATAATAATAGTAATAATAAAAGCAACCATAAAAGATTAAATGTAAGAGGAAACAATTTTCTGCCATAACAGAGTTCAAATATGATCTGAGTTAATATCTGTGAAGATGGTGAGAGATTTTTAGGCAATTTGGGACCAATCCTTTCTCCAGCAGCAGAAAAAAAGGGGCGGAGGGAGTGATAATGTTATGAAGGTTCTCATAAAGCCCTATTGTACAGATATGAAGAGAGGGAAGGCTTCTCTCATCACTGGGGGGGAGGGGGGGGGGTCGTTGAGCATATACAGTCTATTGTTTTTGAGAGATTCACACATGTGTTTGAGGCTCTGGCAACATCTCCACCTACTGTTCAAGATCTTTTGGCATGTACTGTATTTGTGTCTCAATATTTTTTTTTTCTTCCTGTCTAGTGAAAACAATGTAATTTCAAATTAAGTGATTTTGAATTCGATTTTTTCTGATTAACTGAATAATGAAGTGCTATATTCTTCTACTTCTTAAACTAAAAAAAAAGAAATTAGCTGGTAAATGTATCGTCACAAAGCTGAAAACAGGGCTGTTGTTCTGAGCTCATGAAAAGTTACTTTTTAGAAATACATGGTACATAACAGTGACACTACACACGTGATGATCTTATAGAATATGATGCATTGCCATAGGTTAAACTGCCCAAAAGTTTATACTTGTACTGGAAGTGGATTATTGTCACAGTGTGGTATAAGTACTTTCACTTAAGTAAAGGATCTGAGTACTTCTTCTACCACTGACACATACATAAGCCAACAATGTCCACTGCATGTTGTCCTCACTCCCACCTTCTGCAAAGAGCTGTGCATTCCTTCTCACAACAAATACTGGGGCACCAGGGATTTGACGTGTGTGTGTGTGTGTGTGTGTGTGTGTGAGTGAGAGAGAGAGAGAAAGACTGGAGAGAGATGGATAGTTCAATCACCCTACATGAGCATCAGCCAAAACTGGAACAATGTGTTCCCTGTTCGATTTCTCCCCTACCTGCCCCCCATGGTTTGTCTCAACATGATCTGTTGTAACCAAAAGGGCAGAACAACAGACAAACGGGAGAGGGAGGATAAAAAAAAACAACCAGTCTGCTTTCAAGTTTTCAGATGCTTGTTTTAATGAGTTCTGAAATCCCCCAACAACAAAGACTTTAAGCACAGACAAAAGGAGGGGACATTGTTTATTGCACAAGTTTCATACAGAACCACATAGCCTACACACACAGTCATGTATACATTGATGTGCTATAACATTAACACGTTCTCCTGGCTATTTGGCAGTAGGGAACACAAACATTTGGTTTGGCCACAGAGAAAAATACAAAAACAAAATATGAACATTATTTCAGAAATAGATAAATATAATCCATCTGTAATACTTTAATAGTTATTACAGTATTAGATATAGATGATGACATAAATACAGATATAGATTATGACCGTTATGCCATCAGTGACAACACAAGGATGACGAGCAGTTCTTGTACTCATTTGTTATTATAAAAATAAAATGTGCCTGGACCACAGAGATCTCTTAAAGAGTTGCTTAAAGAGTTTAATAGGTTCATAATAGATTAGAACATTTCTCAAGTAGCATTTCGCAACAAGCACAACAGCAAAAGGCACATGAGTGAGAAGTAAAGACAAACCCTGAATGAAACATGGCACCGAAACAGAACTACACTGGAAATGGATTTCAAGAGATTGTGACTCCCAGACTTTTTGGTGGGTGACCTCTTTATAATAAAAGAAGCAGTGCCTACTTGCAACCCCTTATCACAGGGCACATTTTGTGTCTACAAATTGAGATTTCTTGAAACAATTAACATAAATGTGTTTTTTCTTCTTTCCGTCCCAATTAATTATCTCGTGACCCGTCAGCTTTATCTTGTGACCTGTTGGAGGGGTCCTGGACCCCAGGTTGGGGATCATTCATCAGTTGGAGTGAACATATGTAGATGGGAGAATCACAGAGACTGAAATCTGCTCCTAATGTAAACACAAGACAAATAGCCATCCAGTGGTAGGAACCCGGTATAAGGGTATGGCCTGATGAACAGTAATACTTCCACTGAAGGGGAAAAAGAGGTCTGAGGTTACTTTGTCAGTGTCATTGGGTCATTTAGACTCACAGTGAAATACAGCAATAAAACATCTGATTACAGGAAAGAACTTGACACAAGTGTCACAAGTAAACAGCAAATAGTCTCTCAACCATCTAGATATTCAACACATACATCTATAAAGTACAATATGAGTCATAATATTTGCTCAATATTAGGTACTTTTGCATGTTCTTATGCTGAACACACTTTCATAGAATAACAGGTTTTGCATTTGGCACAGAAATAAAATATCACACTTTACAGAGAAACTATAACGCTGAACTAAATTTGAATCTGCATTGTATAAAAAATAATTAGCATATTACAAATGTAAAATAATTCTCATAAAGGCTTAGTTTTGGAAGTTACTGTAGTTTGTGTGAATGTAAACTGCAACCAGCTGCAGTCTGAGAGCTGTGAATGACTATAAACCAGATAACTTTATGCAAACATTTTGTGTATAAGCAGTCGTCAACATGTTTAAAGGAATCATGTTGTTAAAATATTCAGGTTTTGTTTCACATTTTGAAACAGACATATTTCTAGGATCAAGCATCTTTTTTTCACAATTATTTGGCTATCTTTATAATCACATTTTGTGAAATTGACCCTTGGTCTTGTCAGGTGTCTTGATGCTGAGCTGCATACACTCTAGTTGTCCAGATGTGGGCGACACTGAGCAACATTTCAGGCTTTGATTGTTCTCTGCAGCTCCTGTCTGAGCTCTTTAGCTTCCTGGGTAGCATATGACACTGATCTAAGTTCAGCTCTCTCCGTCTCATCTCGTCTGCAGCTGGTTTTATGATACTGAAGAGGTCTGTGAAACTCAGATCTGTGTCTGATGCCTGGGAAGCAGGATGCCTCTCTATACATCCAGCAGCTCAATCCGTCTTCCAGGCAGTATTCAGGACCTTCACAACCTCCTCATAGATAATGAAAACTATGGCCACATCCAGACACACACGGCCGAGCCGAGGAACTGTCCCTTTATAGAAACTACAGATAGACACAAAGATGGTGGGGTAAATATAAAATATCAGAAAGGCACATTTTATGTTTAATGGTTTATGTCTAACTTTAAAATGTTGGAAATAAGGGTTCTCACTATAACATGTTATCCCCTGGATTTGTGTCCTTTGTAGATCCATAAATAACTCAAAAGTAAAAAAAGTTAATTGAAAGTATTCTTAAAAATCATCATTATACAGATTAAAGTAGAATAAAAAACTTTAGGCCAAATCATTAGGTTTCTGGAGGTAGTATTTATATATTTTGATAATGTAGACTGGGGTTGAACTAAAACATACAGGTGTTTCCCCATGTACTAGTAACAACATACCGAGTTCAGTTGAGGCTTGCTGTGATAACAGGGGATAAAAAAAATAAAAGCCTGCTGTGAGACTAACAATTTAATCCAAAACTAAACTAAAACAAAGTGGAGGTGTACTCACGCTGCCAATCCCTCATTTCTCAGAATCTTTAAGGCACAGTCCAGTGTGCTTTTATATTTGTGGGCTTCCAGACCCTTTGGAAAGACCAGAAAGGCATTGTTATTTCTAATCAATGTCAGTAGGTGGCAACAACTTGACAAGTTTTACTAAAACATAGAAACACCTGCGCTTTACAACGGCCACCATATTATGTACCTGCATCCTTGTCTTGATGACATCTAGTGGGGTGTTTCCAAAGACACTGGCTGCTCCAGCTATGGCTCCAAAGGTTCCAGTCACCAAGGGATTAATAGCTTTATTGGGGTTATCGCCTAGTACAAGGACATAACAGAGGAGTCAATAACAGTAAAGCCTTTAATTTTAGTCCTGTTACTGAACAACTGAACAGGGTATCTAGCTGGTAAGACCTCAGACAACAGATATGTCCCAACTCCATATGAACACTATACAGACAAATACATACAGCCTTATGCACACTGACCTTTGTACCAGTTCTTGAGATAGGTCATCACAAAGAATCGAATAGCTTGATTGGAGCCTTGTTTAAGAACTGTGGCAGTGAGACCCTGGTATGTCCCTTTTAATCCTGTTAAGGTATAATAAGTAGCCACATTTATTATGATCCTCTTACATTTAGTAAACAACATCATGACTGGATGCTTCACTTTTTTAATTAAGAGGATGTTTTCAGCTGCATTACCCTGGCTGACCAGTAGATGTCAGGTGAATGACATGCATTGAAGCTGGTCTTTACCTTCTGCCTTGATGATGTGTCTTACTCCATGGAAAAAGCCCTTGTATTTGGGGTTGGCTGAAGTCTGGTCATGAATGAATTTAACCTTGGGAGATTAAAACAAAAAAGGAACAAGTGATCATCACCCAAAATAGAAAATGTTGCTTTACTATTAAAGGGAAGGAAGCCACAAAATGGTGAAAACTGCACAAATGTTTAGTCGGGCCCTCTTTCAAGTAGACTTTCAAATGAGTTCACTAAATGCGCTATATCGAACTACTTTACTGAAAGTACAATTAGCTAAGAAGAGTGCTTCATATCACTGTGTTTTTGCAGCTGTTTTTTTTTACAGTTATCTCACAGCGCTTTTCATAAAAGAGCAGGTCTAGACCGTACTCTATGATGCTATTTACAGAAGCCCAACAGTTCCCACCAAGAGCAAGCACTAGGCGACAGAGGCAAGGAAAAACATCCTTTTAAGAGGCAGAAACCTCGAGCAGAACCATGGCTCAGGGTGGGCGGTCATCTGCCTCGACCGGTTGGGGGGGGGGGAGAGAGAGAGTGGAGAGAGAGAGAGTGTGTGTGAGAGTGAGAGAGAGAGAGAGAGAGAGAGAGAGAGAGAGAGAGAGAGAGTGAGAGAGAGAGAGAGAGAGAGAGAGAGCAGCCTACACATATACACACAGAGGTACAGACAGTGAAGGTGATGTTGCTATAGACTAAATGAAAAATGGTACAGATATTTATAGTAGTGTTAATGGTAACAGTCGTAATGTTAATGATTATAATAACATAATAAATAAATAATTTTGTTTAGGTGGTTATGAATGTCCTGATTTGTTTTAGTAAAACACAAATGTGACAGATGTTATATGTAAATAAGCAATGTGCTTATTTTGTGGATCAAATTTCATATATCTTCCTAGAGAATATGCTTATATACAAATATTACGCACCTTGTGTGCATGACACTGAAAAATCAAACAAATCAAATCAGAAACCTGACCACAGATCAGTCGGTAACATACTTTGACAGTTTCCATGGGACAGACCACCAAAACAGCCTCCATCACCCCGGCTCCAAGCCCACACAGCAGGCCTCTGGTGCTGTCCAGTCGACCGGACTCATCCTTTGCACGATTGCTGAGGAACTCGAACACCCCAAACCTGAGGAACAGAGTCAGCAGGGAATTAAGGGAGAAATTTGCACAGGAAAGGAAGACTGCTGCAAGACAAGTATTTAAAATTATTTTATTACTAAAAGTGGATGACCTTTAAACAGTACATGTCTGCAAAACAGGTCTGTGTGACATGTTAAGATAAGTACTATATGTATTCAACTACACAACTTGGTCAGAGAATCTAAATTTTTAACATGGCAGGCAGGAAGTTGCATGTTTGTTTGTTGTGGTTGTCCCTTTGCTTTTCACTCCTTTGAGGCCAAAAAATTAAGCCATTCTGCAATCTGATTAATGCAGTTTGAATCACCCAAGATCCTCTTCCAGTAAAAGGCTAAAGTAAAAAATAAATAGATGACAATACCGCAGTCAAAGATAATGAGATTCCTTGTATTAAGACATTACCACCACAACTATAGCTTAAGAACAAAGGCCACAGATAGAAAGATAATTATGGTGCTCCTCATCAGCAGAAATCAGATACTAGAGGAGGACGTTTCAACTCCGTTAATCACGGAGTACAAATAAAAGCAAGACGAACTACTGAAAGTGCAGAATGTGCTTAAAATTTTTACTTTATTGTCCTGCCAGCATCCTCATTAAAGATGCACCAATAAAACTGTAGTGTCTCAGTAACCAACGAGTGACCAGCAACAGCTGCAATAGAAGTGTGGTTTGCGTATCTCTGCCATCAGAAAATGTTGTGCCAGCGAGTCCTTTACAAGAAAGGTTATTTATAGATGGAATTGAATTGTGGTGACGGCAGGATGCTGCCCGGTACATTCAGAAAATGGGCGGGGGAGGACAGACACTTGGTCTTGATGAATGCTTTGTTTTCCTCTCAGTCTGCTTGAACCATTTACCTGCCGTCGTCATGGGTCTAATAGAATTCATCTCTTATACTAGACAATTGCGATTGTAGTTTTTTCCATCTGCCTTTCTATCACTGACGATTTTCCGCAGCTCATTAACCTTCCACATCTTTTCTCTGTCTCACTCCTCACAAAGATTTAGTTTGAGTTCCACACAATTAACCGCCTCCCACTTTCAAGCGGGAACAAACACATAAAAATAAATCCATGTGTCTCTCTTTATGCACACCACTTGCTGACTACAAACAGGTTTTTAGCTTTGGAGAAAATAAAAACTGTACTTCCCTAAAGCTTGCTTCGACTGCACGGAGATGGCAGTGCACTTAATAACTAACCTTGTGAAACAAATGCTATTCATTAAAAGCTGCTGGAGAGAAAAATGCCATTGTCCGGCCTGTTCCTGTGCCAATTTACTCTCTAACCCCCCTATCCATTTAACAAGTAGACTAAACCTTACAGCTGGAATAAGACACATCAGGTTTTGGCCGACATCCACAGTCGGAGATGAGTCAGTCCGGACAGCAGAGTGCTGCCCAATCTTCATTAGTGGGACTTTCTACAAGGTCATTTCTGCTGATGAGAAGAGGAGTTGAAGAAGAAGAAGACAGAAGAGTCAACGGGAGAGGAAATACAAAAGAAAGAAAGAAAGAAAGCTGGGTAGACAAGGGAGTGGGATGTAAATATGGATGAGGGGCTAAGGTGAGGAAAAGGTCAAAGGCTCTCCTGTCTGTCCCTCTCTCACCTCCCTGACAACCCCTCAGTAGACTGTGTGGCGCATGATGGTGCACAGGCAATCAGTTAATGGGACTGAGGAATAAGAAGGGCAGTGAGGCAAAGGAGTGATAGGAAGGGGGAGGAAAAGAAAAGAATGGATTGAACAAATGATTAGCGGTGGTCAATGGAAAAGTGCCAAGCTATTCTCCATAAATCATTACATTTACACATTTAGCTAATCCCTTTACTCCAAAGCGACTTACAATTGCTATATATGTCAGAGGTCGCACACATCTGGAGCAACTAGAGGTTAAGTGTCTTGCTCAGGGACACATTGGTGGATGTGTCACAGAGGGGAATTGAACCCAGGTCTCTCGCACCAAAGGCATATGTCTTATCCACTGCTCCAACACTAATCAATCTAACTGTTCCCATTTCAACAGCTTTGTCTCTCCTCGGTGATGGTGATTAACAATATGGGAAAACAGAAATAAACATATTTCTGCTACGTAAAATGTTGTTTGCCTGTGATCTTTGCTTGTTCTTGTAAATTACTGAATAGTTTCACCTCTAGTATTCAAATAAGACAAAGAAAAATAATCCACATTGTCTGAACAGCACATACCCAAAGACATATGAAAACTCTACAGACGTGTCATGAGCAGATAGAGCTTCCTTTTAAGGGGTCTCAAGCTAAAAAGGGCTAAAAAATGAACAGAATCAAAATGTCTATAACTTGCACACATTTTAAATATACATTGTGTTCTGAAGACAACAGCAGAAAGAGAACATGGCCTAAAACCTCTGTCCTCTCCATGCCATATTTCCTCAGAGAAAACTCACAGAAACAAAACCATTCAAACTCCCTCTGGAAAGGATGCTGACTGACACACTTATATGTGTACACACAAACACTGTACATAAACATACACACATCCATTGACAGAGACACAAGCCTCCCTCTCTGTGCTCCTATTGAGACCATGCCCTGAGTTTGAGTGGCATCTTTGCCTCGCCTGGCTGGGCCTGTCTCTCCATCGTACAGACAGGCTCTACCCTCCAGCATCACACACACACACACACACACACACACACACACACACACACACACACACACACACAGAGAGAGAGAGAGTGAAAGAGGAGGGAAGGAATGAAAGAATGAAACTGTGACAGTAAAAGCGTCTTAGTTTTATGCAGCGCGTATGTGTACGTGTGTGCGCACATGCACTGTAATGTCTGGAGATAAATGTCACTGCTGTGAAAGAATAAGGTAATTATACTGAAGGCTAGTGTGGCATTTATGGCTTGCATTGTGGGTAATAGACTAGAATAATTGGAATGTGTGAGTTAGTGGTTTCAGGTAGAAGATCACGTCTCAACTAAAAGTGTTTTATCCATTTTATCCAGCCTTTGCTGCACACACACTCTACCTTTTGTATTTACATCAGATTACATTTTTCTTAGAAAATTTAAAGTGACAAAAATTTAAAGCAACAAAATAGACTTTAAGAAATGACAATTTTACCACAATATATAGACAGTCTAATTGAGAAGTGAGCGTCAGCTCTGCTGTTACTATTTATTTTAAAAGGTCAAACATCATGGATTAATGACAACTTTTACCTGTGCTAGAGTAAATGTATTAGTCTTCATATACTTAATAATAAGTATATTTCAGAATTGTACTTACCTGACTGCAGATTTGGGTATGGATCCATACAGTAATGAGCTCAGTCCTCTGTACAGTCCTTTGACACCGTGACCCTGTACCGTCTGTTTCACACAGTCACCTGGAGGAAGACACAGACACACAAACGTATATTACAGAATTGACTGCACAGTCCTTTCACATTCAGTGAATTACAAAAACAATACTCACTTTGGACAATTTCTTCTGTAGAAATATGTTTTTGTGATTTGAGTAAACTAACCCTTTTGATAATAACTCAGCCACCATAGTAGCAACTAGGGCTTGACCCGAATATTCGACTATTCCTTCATTGGGTAGGGACTCAATTCTCAATTTTGTCATTCGAATATTCAGGGAGTTGACATGAACCTGAACATCACACCACAGTTCACCTCGAAGAGAAGACAAAATGCCGCAGTCTTCAGCTGTGTGGGAGCCCTTTCAGTTCAGTGAGGACAAGACAAAGGCAGTGTGCCAAGTATGCAATTTAAAACTGGCATTCATTTATTTATTTGCCCTGTGTCATTCAGAATTGAATGACCCTTAAAGAAAAAACATATAAACCAGAACAATTTGTCTTTCACTTTTGGTTCATCAACATCACAAAAGGGAGAATACTAATTTCCCGAAACTTGGTGTTTTTCTTAACTTACTCTTGGAGACCAGTAATCCGTGTTCTGCTATCCAGCCAAATGCACAACTGAGCTGAAAAAGCAACAGCTGTCTTGAGCGCTCATTAGCATGGTCTGCGTTCCTCAGAGCTCTAGCCAACATTAACACATCCTGGGTGTGTGTGTGTGTACGCTGGTATGCGTGGATGGGGAGTGTGCATGTGTGCAGTGGTCTGTTCTAAGTCATAAAAACAAGCACAGTGACAGCCTGCCAGATTTCCTAATGTACCTGGGGATGATGGGTAATTAGATAATGAGCTCCTGAGAGAGGCAGAGAGATAGAATGACGAACAGAATATAGAGACAGACAGAGGAATACATGTATGTATTTTGTCTTCAATTGTCTTGTTGTTTTATTGTGATTTTACTGTGTCTATTCATGTTTTTAATGCTGTCTCACTGAAAAAAAGTTCCTCTTGTTGGAAAAAAAAATAAAAATCTGAACTGAACTTCTTTCAGCAAAAACAGAGCTTTTTGGTTTCTCCTCGACTTATGCCGATTTTTGTTCAGACAACACTACTACAAGTTAGATTTTATTAAATTTAAAGAAGAACAATCAACTGAAAAGGATATTGTTTTATATCATTGCTGGGTGTTTGAACTGGCAAATATTTGATATTAAATTAGGTTAAGGTCCACTGTTTTTCTCACATTTTCTCACACACATGATACTCACCTATTCCTCTGTATTTGGGTGGATTGGCCTTCTCATCCAGTTGCAGCTGAGTCTTGACATACTCGGTGGGGAAGGTGATGCAGATCTCTATGCCCCCTGCAATTCCACCTGAAAAACACAAGCAAAGGCATAAATTAACCTGGAACTGATCAAAAAGGAAATGTTTAAGGAAAATTAAACATTTTCTTTCTGGTCAGGCAGCTTTGTTAACATTCTGCATACCATGTCTGCCTTGCTGCAGCCTAACCAAAGCCTGATTCAGTGCCCAGTCGCCCTTATGAAGTGCAAGGAGGTGCCATTACATCATGGATCATTACAATGACACCACAAATGGCTTTCTCTCCATAAACATTAAAAGCACTGCTGCCAAGGAAGGAAGAGTAACAAGCCGCACAAAGATAAATCAACGTTTCTGCTATGGTTAAACTACACAGCGACTGTGCTGTATGAGAGGAATGAACAGAAATTCAACACAAGAGAAAGTTGAATTTAGCTGCCTCTCAAATATTCTGTACCATATCTTTAGTGTATGATTGCAGAGAAGAAAATAAACAGAAAGAAAGAAATTAAATGAACAAATGAACTTGTGAGTGACTACTAGAGGGTTCAGCCTGAAACTCGCCACAGTTGATGAGTTCAGTAGATGAGGACAAGTGTCCAAAAGCGAGGCTAATGCACAACACGGATGAGTCACGAGGGAAGGAGGGGAGGATGGAGAGAGGGCTGACATTAATTAAATTATCCGCTCAGCCTGCAGGGAGGGGATCCATTACCCAGGCCAAGACCCTCCATTAAGTCAATGACACAGACACGCACAGTTACACTGTGCAAGGGAGAAACACACACATCACAGAGTTACACAGAACCATGCCCCCACCCCAAATAAAATAAATTCACAAACTAAAATACTTCATCCGGTTAATTATGAGAAGCATTTTACTGTACAGTATTTGTGCCAAGTTAGGAAACAGAGACCACAATAAACCAACGAATGGGAAGCAAAACACGTAAATGTCTGTCTTTCGCATGAAATGTCAAATGGGTTTAAACAGGAAGTGGTTGTGTTTGTCTGTTTCTGGGAATTACCAGTTGTGATCAGATGTTAATATGTAATATGTAAGATTTACTGAAAAAAAACTTTTACCTTGGATGCTCAGAAGCCTATCTTCACAACCTAGAATGTTAAACTGTCCATCTTAAATATATTTTAAGTATTATTATAGTATCCTTCAAATTGTTCACATTTTTGTATGTAGAAAAATTAGACAATCCAGTTGAAGATTGGTGCAGTCTATGTTTGCACTTTGTTCCCACTCTCTCAGTGTTTGATCTGTGGGGTGTTTACTGTGTCCAAAGTCAGAAATGTTCAAATCCCACACTTTAAGAGCTTTAACCAAGGGATTTATTAGATTATTGAGTCCTAAAGTCTTATTTTCTTAACACAAGAATGAGATTTTTCCACCTGATTCCATTATAAGTCTTGAAGGTTGAATCTCCGCTAACCCTAACTCTGTTCTTTCACTTATAAACATGCTTACTTGTCATTTAGCTCTGCAGTTTGGCACGCCTCACATGTCACTGCTGCCAAACGACCTTTATCACTGTGTCACCTACAAGCAGAGCCTCCACTAAAGAAAAACATATATTTAACCTGGAAATACATTTCAGGACTATGAGCAGTTGACATTGCAGAGCAAACTAAATACCCAAAAAAGCCTCTGAATCATCTCTTTATCTACATCTCCTTTTATTTGAGTGGGCCTGATTTAATAAAGTAAATCAATAAGGGAAAATAGCTTTTACTTAAGGCTGCACAATTATCTAATGTACCCATTTATCTCTCCATATAATTATATTGGGAACACATTTTGACATGTAAATCAATGATATGTTAAAATTTACACCAAAATGTGTCACAGCATAATTTTTTAAATACCTGAGAATGTATTTTTCTGGACAACTGTAGTATTGTATTTTATTTTGGTCAGCCAAACATTATACAGCAATTTATTTTATTCAATATGATGAACATGATTTTGTAGCTTATGAGTCGAGTATTTCAGTCAATATCAGCACGTCATTGAGATAAAGCTGTGATGACTGACACAATAATTAAGTGTTTATCATTGTCATTGATTCACCTGATCAGCACATTTCATAAAAACTGTGAGCATGACTAAGCTGAATCATAACATTCATGTGATCTCTCTCTCACACACACACACAGAAACTTTAATCACCAGGCCAGTGAGCTGTAATTCTTCTAATCCTGGTGGAGTGGTAAGTAAATGTTAGCCAGCTGAGACAGAAATTGCATGAGCTTTACCATGCTCCATTCCAGCCGTCCTGACTTGGGATCAGTGGGTCAGTGTGTCTTGGGAAAGAAGAAACCGTAAAGCTCATTCATCGGTTTTCTGCCAAGACAGTACTGCATGAGAAAACCAACCAGCAACGACCCAGCAACAGATACATGATCAATCCTCATCAGACACACAGTGCCTATGGAGGAGAAGTCATTTTAGTAGACTAGTTCCAGACCATTTCGCAGCCTACATCCAAAACACACACACTTATAGGTGACACCCTTAATGACTCCTGTGTAGCTGCCAAACATGGATTACATGAGCAAAATGGCCATTAATCTTGATCTTCACAGGCTCGCTCTCCTCTCCTGTTGTTAATTTTTCTCTCAGCGGCACCTTGCTTCCTCTCTCCTCATGCCCAGGCTGCTTATCTCCACAGTGTCATAAAATCAATGCATCCACATAGATCTCTGACACTTACTATAACGCAAAAAGAAATGGAAATGGAGTGATATTCAGAAACCAGAGGTGGTGAAAAACAGGTAGTACCTGATACAAATCTGCTTCTATGACTCTTAGAGAATTGAAACTTAAAAGCCACGCAGCCGTTTAAATAAATTAAACATGGACTTCATATACTGATAAACTGAAACACCTTGCTCAGACAAGGTCAATTATTAATTTAATCAACACCATTCAGACTTCACAGCTTGGCCCCAGCTCATTTCTGCCAAACGACTTATATAGTGGCCAAAGGCATGTTGACCTGCAATAATCACACCTATATGCGAATTTTGAACAGATCATTCCAGAACCAAAGGCACTGAAATGCTGCTATACCAGCCTCTCTCTTCTGGAAAGGCTTTCCACAGATGTTGAACCTGGATTTATTCCCATTCAGACACAAGAATGTTAGTGAAGTCAGCCACTGATGCTGGGTGATAAGGCCTGGCTCACAGTCAGCAAATTCATCGCAAAGCTGTTTGATGGTGCTGAGGTTTGGGATCCAATCAATACTTCCATACCAAACTTGGAAAATCATTGCGTTCATGGACCTGGCTTTGTGCACGGGGGCATTGTTACGGTCACACATTACCTGCTGGTGGCGCTAGATGAAAGCTGGCGATCACCAAAGTTATTAGGATTTATCCTTTGGGCACTATGGATATTTTTTATCAATTTTCTTGGCAATCCATCCAATAATTGTCGAGAAATTTCCCACAAAAAAAGGCTTCTACTGGTGGCACTAGTGGAAAAGTCAATGATCACCAAAGTGAGCAGGACCATCCTCTGGGGACCATGAATGCCTGTAGGTTTCACTGCAATCATCTTCAAATAGCTTCTCAACTGTCAAATCTTCACAAATGAGAAGCTGAAAGTATAGTGTAAACATTACTTAAACAATGAATCCATTACCAAAGTAGTTGTTGATTGACGTGATCAGTTAATCAAGTAAACATTTCAGCTCCGCATACTTTTTAAAACACATTCTGTATGTGTGCTCATTCATAGAAATATTCATGAATGCAAGATGCAAACACAAATTCAGAGACACTTTTTTTGCAGTACTGAGAGGAAGCCAGGTGAGCAGGCAGGCAGGCAGCCAGCTGTCAGGGAGGAAGTCTCTGAAATCCTGTACTGCCTGCTTCTGTGACTCTAATGAGCCTCTGAAACATCTGGAGCACTAAGAAACTTCCTTTAACTTAGGAAGTAGTGACAGTCTGTCGTGGTCTTTGAGTGTGGCAGGTTCTAAACATATTAGAAGCCCCAATTTTTACTTCAAAAAAAAAATTTATCCTGATGCCTTGTTGAATGGCTGTGGATGTTTTGTTACAGCACTGATGCAGTGAAACCTAAAGCTAAGAGTCATCCGGCGTTCAATTCAGACAGTAAAACTCACCCAAGTCAACAATGTGTATCTACATGTGTTTGTACTTGCGTGTATGTGAATCTGCCAGCAAATTAATAAGCAGTTTTGCAGCAGAATCTATCTATTATTCACCAGATGTTCTTTATTTGGATTATTAGATTTTCACTTTAAATTCTCTGCGGTCTGAGGAAAAAGATGCTATCATGTCCGTATCTCCAGTCCAAACAGAACATAGCCAGAGGACTGATGTACTTCAAACATGAGGTGTCCTATTAATAGAACCGTAATATTTCTGTTTATGTTCAAGCAAAACATGAAAAGAATTATTCATCTGACGTCTGGCCTTTTAGGCTTCCGCTGTCCTGAACAACACTCCCTAATGCTACGCTGATGCTTAATTACAGGAGGGATGTTGATTAATTTTACATGGCAAGTTTTTTAACTACTTCCAACCCTGCAGCATGCAGATTGTACACTGCTTTACATTACAACTACGCACACATGTACAGCTGTGGACAGGGCTGCCAGGCTCTTTAAAGTTGATTGACAAAGCGAGTGGGCTTTACATTACTTACATAATTTTTGATTACCTACCTTAATTGACGACCCATCAGCCATTGGTTAACGTTACTACTACAGCATCAAAGTCAACTTGCAAAGGTTTGAAATGAGCTTGTAATCCTCAGAGTGTTTATTCAGTCTGCTTTCTGATTGTGCTCAAGTTACACTATAACATGCTCATGCAGTTATCAGCATTTGAAAAGTCTTCTTTGTTTGGTACATTCAAGGAAGCTCTGACATCTAAGATTCAAGCATTAAATGCCATCAAGGATTTTTGTGTAAACTATACTGTCAAAGTTTCAAACACCCTAAACAAATATTAGATAAACATAAAAGTGGCTAGAATCAATATTTTTATATCAATAGTGCATCACATAACTATATGTATGTGAAAGGGGTCACTCATAGAAGACCGATAAAAGTTAGCGACTAGTTGTGAACATAGTGGAACATTTAGCAGCAACAGAGACAGATGTTTCCCTCAGAACTACATAGCCCCATCGCTCATTGTAACAAGCCAATTAATCGAGGCCTTATTGTTGAGCAACCATCTGTCTGAGACGTCAAAGTGTTTATGAACCCAACAAGGTAATTACTTGGAAATGAATTACCCTGCTTTGATCATTTAACTGACAAAAATTTACAGCAACTAGATGTTAACTATGATCAATATACTCAAACAAGTTTTAAGTCTCTACAAGTTAATATCTTAACATTAGAGAAAGTAATTAAAACCAGTGGCTGAAATCAATCTAAAAACTTCAAGAAAATAGTGAACAAAATGCTCAGTATGTGCGATTTGTAATTACTGTAATGGATCTCCTAGACATTCCCAAATGCAATTGGAAAAATAGACTGAAAATGTAATATTTAGCTGACATATAAGCCTACTGTATTTTAATTTGCAGCACTAATTTCTACGCTGCTACATGTTGTGTCCATGGCTGCATTATACCAACATCTAGCATCTAGCTGACAGGCTGTTACAGGGGGGCTGGTTGGGGGTGGACAGTGGAACGAACTGTGATTTATTATCTTGCCTCCCGGTAGTTTGGGTCTGCGAGCCAGAACAGCAGAGGGGAGGTGACTGCGTGCGTCACCTGTGACGTGAGGAAACGGGGAGTAAGCGCACAGTTTGACGAGCCCTTTGAGCCTGAGAGGAGACAACCACTCAGAAAACCTAACTGGCTGCCCTGAGGCTGAAGAGAGGAAGAGAGACGGAGGAGAGGCAAAGAAGGAAAGGAGAGCAGGAAAAGTGACAGAAAAACTACGTGTGTCTCAGTGGAAAGTCCAATCTATCATGGAATCAAGATTGAATTTTGTGGTGTTAAATCCGCCACTCTGCTTTTCAGACTCTGCTCAGAAGGCTCATACATGAAAGCCACAAAAAAATGTATGAATGCACAGCAGCCAGCAAAACAGGACCAGAGACCCATTTAGACTGCTCTCTCTGCTTCAGGCCTTTTACAGATAAAACTCTGCCTCTTTCCGTGTCTTAACTTCAGTCATGTGCACCCTTCCTCCCCAACCACTGTCTATGTGAGCTCTCTAATCCATTAAGCTTTGACCTTCTACTTCTTGCTTTGTCTACTTAGAGCCTTCGGGCATGTACATGAGGCTCGCTCTCTCCACACAGACATACTGCTAACCATAACAGATAAATCTAAAACAGCATTAGCATGTCACACTGGGAGGTGTCAATTGGATTTATGAACTGCCATAGCTGAGTGAGAAGAATTTGTATCCTGATGCTGTAAAGCATCAGTTATGGTTTGTGATGGACGATATCTCAGGTCAGACTCAAAGTGACAGTTTATCTACCGCTGAGTCATCCCAGTGATGCTCTGAACATGTACTTTCATCAAACTACACATGCTGGCAAAAAAATCCTTTGAATCTATACATTGAATTGATCAATTGTTTCTTGACAGTGAGGCCGGGAGGAGTCGGGGGGGGGGGGGGGGGGGGGCAGAGTTAAGACAGAGAGAGTGCTGCTGTTGCAAAACAGGACAGACAAGCTTGAGATGAGCTAAACGACACAGCTAGGGGAAGAGGGAGTAACACTGGGCCATATCCAGTCACTCAGGCTGCACAGGGCTGATGGGGGATGGGGAAGGTCTCACCACGGCAACATTTCCATTTCTCAGTGGCTGACAGGACGACGCGAGTCTAGAGGAGATTTTTCCTCCTCTTCTCACTCCTCTTACCACAAAATCATTAACTCTACACGTTTTTAAATGTCATAATGCTATTTGAATTGTTTTGATATACCATTTTGTTAGTCGTGGTAGTGAATATCAGTTCTTAGTGGATAACAAGCTCCAAAGTACAGGAAAAGTACCTTAACATAAATGGTATATGTTGCTTGCTATGTTGGCAGTGTAAATTTATCCATCCATCCATCATCAACCGCTTATCCTGCATACAGGGTCGTGGGGGGGGCTGGAGCCAATCCCAGCTGACTTCGGGCGCAAGGCGGGGTACACCCTGGACAGGTCGCCAGTCCATCGCAGGGCCACACATAGACGAACAACCACTCACGCTCACACCTAAGGACAATTTAGGGTAACCAATCAACCTAGCCTGCATGTTTTTGGACGGTGGGAGGAAGCCGGAGCACCCGGAGAGAACCCACGCAGACACGGGGAGAACATGCAAAATCCACACAGAAAGGCCGGGGTTTGAACCCACGACCTTCTTGCTGTGAGGCGACAGTGCTAACCACAGCAACCACAAGATTTGCTGGTTTCAGCTTCTCAAATGTGACAATTTAATGCTTTTCATTATAAATATGATAGTAAAATAAATATTTCTAAATATTTTAAACTGTTGGCCAGGTAAAACAATCAATTTGAAGATGTTACCTTGGGCAGTGGAAGGTTACCATGAGCATTTTCACTGCTTTCTGACATTTTCCAGCCATAATAATTCATCGATTGATCAAATTTTAAACTTTTAATCCTCAATCAAAAGGAATTCATTAAAAAAAAAAAAGGTTAAATATTCAGCATGTAACCGTTGCCAGAGAACAAGGCTTAAATCTACTGAGTGCTGCCAAATACCAGCATGTAGCCTTAATACAGGAGCAGCTCTGAGAGGCTCTTCATCAACTGGAGCTGCAGCTCCCTGATCAGCAACCCCAGGGGGTCGAGGGGTCGAGGGGTTCAGGGTTGTGTGTGTGTGTGTGTGTGTGTGTGTGGGGGGGGGGGGGGGGGGGGGGGGGGAGTTTCTGAACCTCTGTGGGAATAAACCGATCACAGAAATGGCTAAAACAAGCCTGACTGAAGAAGTGCTGAACCTATAAGTCAATTTATTGATATATATTAAAATGTTCAAGATTGATTAACAATTTTAATCATTTGTCAAGGAAAATATAAAACCTATGCTGGTCACAGCTTCAGTGCAATTCCTTCCATTGCGGGAATAAATTTAGCACCTGCCACCTGCCAGATAGAAGGTAAATGTTGGTCGTGGCAGGTAACAATTTCAGGTCAGCTGCCACCATGGCAGAGAGGTTTGTCGTATAATAAATGTTGTCATTAATGTCATTAATAAATGTTTTTTTAAAAGCAATTCTTAAATTAAGAATAATATTCAGGTATTAAGGTCATGTGATATATTCCATATTCCTAATGTCAGGTACCACTGACACAGTGTTTACAATTCTATAGTGTTCTACATAGATTTACCGTCATAGTCGTACTGGCCATCATGGCTGGTAGAAATGACCTTCGGTGACCTGCCACAGTGGCAGGTGAGTTAAAAATCTTAATTTCAGGCCTTTCTTTCATTCCTCCGTTTCTGATCAATATAATAAATAATTTTGTAGGCTTTTGGTTGCTAATCAAACTAAAACAATTTATATGTTTGACATTTCATGGACTACATGGTTAATCCATTATTCCAAATCTAATCAATAGATCAACAGTTAAAAAAAAAAAAAAAAAAAAAACAGCAGAGAATAAAGTACTATATTTTCTTGTAGCTTCAGTCACAGTATAAAAGACCAAAACTGACAGAACATCATTTAAATCTGAGAACCACAAGGTCCATTTAGAAGCTGTTCAGGGAGTTTTCAATCTTATCACATGATCTTCATCAGGAGATGGATTCCCGCCCAGTTCTGGACAAGTGCTCAGAAAAACCTTCTTGACCAACATGACCACTGAGCAAAAACAATCTGCTAAAGATCAGGAGATATGATCAACCAGTAAAAGGTGTATCTTATGTTGCATTCTCTCAGTCATCTGATTTACTTCTGATCACCACATAACTGAGACATGTTTTGAATGGCTCAAGTGTATTGAGTGTCCTCTACACTGCTGCATGCAGCAGTCTGCTGGAACAGCATTATGTAAAGTGCACTAGAGGTGATCTGTAGATTAGAAGGATAAAATCACATCAGTGCACCAGGTAAGATGTGACTGTGACAGGACAAGACAGGAAGAAAATTGCGGTCTTCTTCGGCACTGAGCTCTCCAGACAATTTCTCTTTTACAACTGGGGTCAGCACGGTTTGACTGCAAGTGGCAAAAGTCGGTGGAAAATGTAGTGACTCGTTCGTTGTCCATCTTAACATATTGCAGCTCACACACACTCTTTGAAGCTCAACTAACTTCAACCTTTTAACTCCCAAAGCATAAAGTGAAACGTCATTCAGCAGAGAAACGCCTCGTTTGTTATCGCTGCAACAAAATGCCCCCAAGATAAATTATTGTATGGCGTGGGAATCCTTTTTGCAGTCTACTTGGTAACATGCGTTATTTTTAGTTACTCATTTTACTTTTTTGACTACAGGCAGCTTTCTTTAACTTGTGTCGTTTTAACGATTTGCTGTTTAGTATTTATTTTAGTGTTACCGCACCAGAAACAAACTTACAGAGTGAACCTGACATGTCGCCGAATAATCAAATATTGTTTAACTGTGACTTCATTGTAACTCGGATAACCAGCAACATTTTATAGTCTACTACAACAAATTATAATAAACTTACCTGCCAGAATCGCCTTTCCCGGGTGAGTTAATTTCGCTTTCCCCGCTGGCGCCGCTGCCGCCAGACATCGCGGTCTGGGAATAGGGCTGATAAATGTGCCTTTATCCTGCATAATGACCAGAAAATACACAGTAAAATCTACAAGAGCTTGTAGTCTGATGATATTTACTTCCAAGTACGTAGCTTGCAAATTCTGCTCAAATAGGAGTGGAGCGCGCAACACATGGACGACTGCTGTGCGCTCTCCTGGAGGCGGGTGATCCCGGACGCGTTGAGAGACTCCAGCCGGTCTCTCTGTTGACAGTGGCCGGATACTGGGACTGTCAAGAAAGTTGGAGTGTTCAATGTCGGATATCTGTTATTTGTAACCACGGTAACGCTGTGTCACGACAGTAGTGCGTAAGAGAGCAAAGCAGACCGGAAGTAAGCAGGGGCGGACAAAGTGTTGTGTCCGTATCCTGCGGCCGCGTGGAACTTGGCAATTTATCCGTACAGCGAGTGAACTTAAACCACCACCGAACCTGTAGGTGGACAGGTGTCAGTGGTGACACTTAGTGCTTAAATGAGCTCAGGGTGAGAGGAGTCCGGCCAGCCACCCTTGTTCCACATCAAAAGGGCGGGGCGCAGCCTCTGTGTCTTTGCATGAATGCAGCTCAGCGAGGATAAATGAAGTCGGGTTCCCCTTTACGCGTCCCCCCAGCAGCGGCGGCGGCGGCAATAGGTCCAAACAGCCCAACCGCACCCTCTCCAAACAAAGAGGCTGCAGCTCCCACAGTCAGAAACCATCAATCAGGTTCGTAGGAGCTTGGTTACCAAAATGTCAGTCTGGGTCCTGCAAGGGGTGGAACTAAGGAAAAAGCCCTGGTATGTCCACAGCTGAAAACCCCCGCTCCATCAACAATAGAGGCGGAGCCCTTCAGAGAGCTTGTAAATCCTTCTCCTGATGTGATTGACTTTTTAAATAATGCACTAACACCACTGTGTGTAAACTTTATTCCTCTTTCTGTATGCATGACGTGTGCAGCTCAGGTTTTCTTTATCCTGCCTTGACAAATCCAAAGTTGGCACCACGGTGGGGAAGAGCTCAGTGTATCATACAGGGACTGCCTGACAGCACAGGGAGTAAACAATAAATTCAACTGTCACCACTTCTAGCAGCCTTGTCAAGACTTTGCCATTTATTAACCTGCTGTTTTTGCATTTTGTCCTTTTCTTACAAAATCATTATGCTTTTTAAGACTACAACAACACATTATAGACAATACATATGGTTTTCCATAATATTTGAATTCTTGGATTAGTTAGGTATTTCAATATATCTTAAATTATACACCGTTTTCAGTACAATAATGATTTTTTTTTTTTTTAAACCAACTGGCACCAGAATGTGAGCTAATGTTCCCCTGTGTTTTCATCTCAAGTCTGTCGGAGCTTCATCATCGGTTTCTGTTAGTTGGGTGAGAAAGTTTCATGGAACATCACTTTGTTTTTTGACACGACATTAGTAATACTTGATATAATTGTGTAACATGGAAATTGTGCTCCTGTTTGCAGCTTTATAGTTTGGCAGCACATGCACGGACTACAGCATATAGCATTTTTTTTTATTATTTCACCTCCTTTCTTTCGTCTTTTTTTCCACAATCATCCTGAAACTCCTGATGTCCAGTATCTGAGTCCGAAAAGTCGACTGACGAGATCAAACCGCTCTGACAAAGCAAAAGGTTTGCGGCTGCACGGGAGTGGAAATTTCAATGAGTGTCTCTTGGTTTGGCGACTTAACCTTCGAAGGCTTTAGAGGCCCCACACACACACACACACACACACACACAAACACACACACACACACACACAGTAACCTCATAAACAAGCTGTCGTCTGTATACAGCAAACACTTTGTACCTGTTGTGAAAGGACAAAAAAAATAAAATAAAATAAAAACTATTGCACAGTAACTGTCTTTCTAATCTTAGCATGAGGCAGTTGTGAAATTAAATATGAACAAATGAGCCTGTTTTTTTGCCACCTCCTCAAAGTATACACGGCTGTAGCAGGGAGGGGGACACACACGCCCCTCTACTCCTCAGTAACACACAAAGTCTCTTCCTCATCAGTGTGGAATCTCTAGGAAATAAGAAAAAAAGCTCCTCTATGGTTAATAAAGTCTACATGGAACAGCAACAGGACAGAGTGGTTTGGTGTCACTAATCTTCGGTATGTTAATTCCTCTAGGAGCTGGAGGAGACTTCATGCTGTATAGATCAGTGATGCAGTTATAATGTCCAAGTGGAACAATGAGAAGTGGGGGGCAGGAGGGGGGGGTCCAACAGCCTTGATGCCATCTTAATGTGTGTGTGTGTGCGTGTGTGCGTGTGTGTGTGCGTGTGTGTGTGTGTGTGTGTGTGTGTGTGTGTGTGTGTGGAGAAAGTAGAGATGAAGGATATCTATTGCAGTTTCAGTGAACTTGGGTGGAGTCTCATCAGGGAATGAAGGCCGAGTTGAGTTTCAGGGGTCTCCGTGTCGTCACTTGGCCAGTTGAGACCCCAGAGCAGCACGGTTCAGGTCCAAGGTGTGTGTAGGGGGGAGAGAGGAGAGAGGGGCTGGAGAGGCAGGGTCAGGCCTCTATATGTTGAAGCCATAAGCAGTGGGCTGAGCAGGGTAGCCCGCAGTGGGGGGCTGAGCAGGATAGCCCGCAACGGTGGCGGCAGGGTAGCCGTAGCCTGGGTACGCTGGCTGGGGAGCCACTGGAGCAGGAGAGCCAGTCAACATCAGCTGCTGGCCTGATCACACACAAACACAAGCACACAGGGTTACATGCTAACAGACAAAATGCCAACTTTTTTACAAGTGCACATTGCTGCACTGTTTTTGTCCACTAGACTTCTCAGAGATCATTTTGGGGCCATATAATAAAATCCCTTACTAAATAACACAGTTGCTGCTGGTTTCAGTTTATAACATCAGAAAATTTGAAATTATGTTATTTTCTTGCTGTAAAATCGCAGCACAGACACCATCTGAAAAAAATGACATTCGACACAAGATTGTAAATGTCTGTGCAAATCTCCTATGTCTGGTTTTCGTCTGGCAAAGTACAAAAACTAACTGAATGTGCCCAAAATTTCACATTTTACTACAAGGAGACAGATTTTCCTGTGTGCTTATAGCATTTAGTAAACTACTTTACCATTACCTTTATCCAATCAGTATACATTCGGTTAATGTTGAATTTCAAGACTGTCAGCCATTTCCCCCCCAGGTTAAACAGACAGGCTGTTTTCAGGGAAGGAGGCAATTTTCTCCTATTTAGGAACCTCCATTGTCTGCCACCTATAAACCTACCAAACACAATCGGCTGAGGCTCTGTCACCTCCTCTTCAGTTTTCCTTTGGCTGTCTGCCTCCTCCAGTTTGTCCACCTGAGGGCAACAAAGAAAAGAGGATAGATCAGACGCGGCTCACTCCCACACTGTACAGAATAAAAGAAAGTCTCATACATTATAGGTATCTTGCGGAAACATTGTAACTCAGCCTTGCAGGCTGTTTAAACTTAAATCCAAGCACAGGTTTTTAATGCAAATTTCAAATGTCGTCCTGTATTTGTCCTATATTTACATGGATGTAAATGTCAGCTGTCAATAAAAAGATATTCCCAATAAAATATCTTTGCTGGACACCTACAATGTGGCGATCACAGTGTTTTATTTAAATGGCAATATCTTATTTGATGTACTACAATAGATCATAAACTCTGATGCTTCAGTAGTAACAATGTATTTTTTATTTCATATCAAACAAATAGATACTGATTAATCTGACTTGTTAACACAGTAGATTTACCATAGCCACTTCTGAAAGACAAAACTTCACACAGTACTTCACAGTGCAGCTAAGGTTACTTAAGAGAAGATGCCATGCAGGTTTGGTGAGAATATCTAATACAGCTTTCAATACAAATGTTAAATCAACAATTAAAGGGTCCATTCACCTAAACGAAATAACCACTTATCCCCTAGTGGTATCTAACCATGCGGATAGTGACTGCTTAGACTCCTACTCCTAGAATCACCCCAATTCAATAGTTATGCTGCTCAAAGCACTGAAGAAAATTTACAATTAACCCAATGTGTGCTTTTGAGTCAAAAAAACAAACTTCTTTGAATATATTGAGCACCAGAAATAAAAGTACATTCACATTGATGGGACGGGCCCGAAGTAGATGCCTGAAACCTCAGCAAACAACAACAACAAAGCAACATCACAGCTAGATACCACTGGGGGAAATGTTTTGTTTTCATTGTGATCTGTGTGAACTGACCCTTTAAAAGTACAATTATAGTGAGAATCAAGGTTAAAGAATTATTACTTTGTGTATTAAGAAGCTATACATGCCTATATGCTGATGCTACATATCCAGCCATTCAGTTAGGTCTATCAATAAATTACAGCTTCTACATGCATCCCATTCGTGGCTGTAAGCAGGCCCTCCTGACAGATTGTCCTTGAGTGGGTTTCATTCTGCTGGACTAAAATCAAGCTACATATTAGAAGCTCACAGGTTAAGCTCATCCTTGCCAGGCATACAGTATTTGTGCAGTGAGTTGGCTGTGGTGCCATTTTTCCTAGTCACTAAGTGCAAAGAAAGAATCAGGCATTGTGCTTCAATTGTGGAAATAGCTGAATACGAAAGGTTTCTGATGTAAGTGGAGATCAGTTCAAACAGTAATTCAGCTCAATTAATGTAGAATTTCCCTTGAGTCATAATTTCAAGAAATGAAGAAAAATGTGGACTTAAGAGTGAAAACATTTAACAGCACCTATAAAGCACTTTTCTGTATATGACTGCAAAATGTTACGAGAGTATGAATGAAAAACTGTATGCATCTAAAACAAAAAAAAACATAACAGTGAGATAGGGGCCATAATGTCTAAATTGTCAGTGCTGTTCTACTACTCTAAAATTATGGTATTTCACACCCTGAACGGATGCACTGACCAGCTGCTAGATTCCACCTCCACCAGTTTGACCAGTGATTTATGGAACAAAGTGTTTGGTCTCTAGAAAATAGACTGCCTGATTAGCTTAAATAAACAGAGAATTCCCCCAGAGGCAGACAAAAGAGGATTTCATGACCTTCTCAATTAGTGTCTGTAGCCCTGCACTGATCTAACTTGTTAACCTGGAGTTAGAAACATGGGGATGCATCTAACAAGTCTAGAGTGGCTCGCTCTCCTCACCCACATTCATTTCTGGTCTTTAGACAGCATTAGGCAGGTGGACAGATCACTGTGTTATATTAGACTACATTGTACCATAACAGCAATCTCCTAATTTTGCATTAGCGTAACAAGATAAAATAAATAAATAAATAAATGCCACTTAACACGAGATGCAGCCCCAAGAGAGAGGAGTTAGAAGGGCAGATGTATCTGTTAGACCAGGACAGGCTAATCCTGGTCTTGAAGAGCAGATGGTGCACAGGCTTTGGCTCCAGCCATCAACACATTGTTTATAGTTAGGGGCTCTCGACTGGTCCGAGACTTCTTCTACAGACCATATTATACCTGAAAATCTGGCAGTCTGTTCAACCATCCATTATAAAATGATGGCAAGTTAGCCATCTACAGGAAATACATCATAACCTACCAAACTAGTGTGAATATTTGAATGATATTAATCTCACATCAGCAGCGTTCAGTAGTTGGATTTTTACACAAAAGCAGCGGCTAATTATATTTCCATCGTTAACATACAGCATATATATTACTACATAGTGGTTCTTAAACATTCCACAGTAGAAACTGCAAAAGAGATGCCACTTCAGATTACAATAAGCTATTTCCACATTTTGGTTTTCATG